TAAGTCTCCTTTTGCCCTTGCCATCCTGTTCTAAACTGACACACATAATAATTATAGATGTGTATGGGGTATATTGTGATATTGTAATATATATATATATATGATATGTAATGACCAGGTCAGAATAATTGGCATACCTATCACCTCAAACATTCATAATTTTTTTTTACTTTCTCCTTCCCATGAAAAGAGGCTATTGTCTATTGGAGGAGGCTGTTGTGAGAGTTTCCAGGGAAACCAAGGGTGACATGAACATCTAAAACGGGCTGAAGGGATTGGTGGAGGCTACAGAATGAGATCTTATCTGGAGGACTTAGTAGGTGGAATCACAGGAAAAGGGCAATGGAGTTACTTTGATGCTAGAATCTCCTCCATAGGACATCTCTGCTGAATTTGACTTCCTGCAAGGGCCTCACCCAAAGGTGAATGTCATTTTCCTGTCACTTCCATTTTTCTCTCTTCCTTGTAGTTCTTAATGCTGGTTGCTGGTTTGTTTCCCCTTTTCTGTTTATGTACCAGCATATTCTCTGTCTTTAATCTGCATTGCTATGAGGTAAAGTAGAATAATGAATGTTAGGACTGTAGAGCTTGGAAGGTAAAATGCCAGTTTACCAATTATGAACTGTTCATTACTAGAACAAAGCAAGGATCCCTGCCTCTTCTCAGTAGGTTAAAGATAGACTGATGAACTCAAAGTAGTTGATTTCTACCTTTCTAGGCTCCCTGCAAATCCCTATCCTGTATTATGAGAATACGTGCTAAAATTCCTCAGAATCCACTTTATTCCAGTCATTAGGATTTGAGACTGGAAACGTGATAGGTCAAGACAGCCCTCACTGAGCTCCCATCCCCTTGTGTGTAGGCAGCAGAAGTGATGCAATGCTACTTCTAATATTAGATGATAAGAGACTTCCCCTTCTGCTTAGGCTGCTTTGGCTTCCCCTCAGTTGTGGATCATTCGCCCTGGGAGAAATCAGCTTCCATGCTGTGAGGAGAGCAGCCTTCCACTGCCACATGAGTGATCTTGAAGGGGAGTCTCTTCCTGTCATGCTTCTGGAGGACTGGCCATGGACAACAGCTGGACAGTAACCCCATGGGAGGCCTTAAATTAGAGGTTTCAGCTAAACTGCCCTGGGATTCCTGACCCACAGAAACTGAGATAATAAGTATTATTGTATTTTAAGCTGCTAACTTTTGGAACAATAACTTACATAGCAACATGTAACTGATTCAAACTTATGGGAAAAATACTACACTGTTGTGCTACTTGCAGAAGCACAGAAATGCTTGACACTACAGCCTTGGAGAGATGAAGAAGGGAGGGAAACTGGATGGGTGAGGAAAATAGAACAAGAGGCCTGTGAAAAACTTGGAGGTATGAGTCAAAACCTTTCC